CCAATAAAACGGGAGAAATTTCTGTGTGCCCAAAACGGTGCCCAAAATGCCCAAAAGTGCCCAATGGAATTAGCATAAAACACACCAAATTACCGCAAATCGAGGACTATTCAAAAAATAAACTGTATCCAAAATATTTTCCCACTTCGTAAACCTTAACCCCTTCAACCCGGAAGATTTTTGTTGCCTTTTTCTAGCCTACGCTGTATATACATGGTACGTTTATATGGGTTTCAGTATAATCTAGGGGAACCGAGTCGGATGGGACGTGCGAGAGTCCATACCAGTAGAGGTTGGTTGTTGCTCTTGCTGTATATACATCCGTGCATAGGAGCCTCGATCCGGTATAACTACAGCTACACATGAGCTATGTACGCTGTTACAGCTGGGCTAAAAACGGTGTGATGCCCACTCGTCCGATTATGTTGCATGGACCAAGCCTCTTACCAGTCGGCTGGCGCGAGAGCCGCGAATCTGTAGAGAAATTTTTCACTATAACTCGAGAAAGCGTGCATTAGATAGGCTACTGATATAGCTATACTCTGCGCAAGTAAAAATTTATCGTCCATTGGGCAATCAATGATGACGATATACGTATCTAGCCAATCAGACCTAGCAAGGTCTTGGATGGCCTGGCTACTGCTTGTCATCAACTAAGTCTGATCGATTGAGCTCTCTGAACATGCCACACCCCACAGATGGCAGGTGCCTTTTTTGAAAGCTTCTTTCATAAATAAAACGTATAGCTCAAAGACGAAACACGAAGTTCATTAACCAATGCATTACTACTCAAACCTACTTGAAATCTTCAGAATCATCGGAGTCTTCAGAGTCTTCCGATTCTGCAGAGCCTACGCGTCGACGCTTAACTGGCGACTTCCCTGGAGAGCCCACCGACCTCGGACCACGCACGCGGAACTTGGTCTTCATGGCCTCTGGAATCTCTTTACCGTTCTTGTAGATGGTGTGCCAAATCTTCCAACAGCTCATCATCTCGTTCGCTTCCAGCCACTTTGGCTTCACACACAAGTAGATGGGTCCTGTGAAGTCACAGCTATCGCAGAAGTATGTCGTAGTAGCCGCGCGCTTACCTGCCTTTCTCATAGCGCACACTTTGCAATTTTTCTGGACTCTCTTTCGCTGTCCAGAGTGGTCACGTCAGTCGTTGTTTTGGTTGGGACTGTGTCCCGTAGGCGCTGCTTCTTGAGCATTTTTATCTTCTGCAATAGTGTTTTCGCCTGTACATACAGGTCAGTTAAGTTGAATATACAGCATGAAGATACATCATAGAAATTATGTACCAGGCAGGAAGGCGTTTTCTTCGTACATGTCTTCTGCAGTGAGTGCAATCAACTGCTGGTGCAGAGGATACATGTACTGGACGTGAGTAATTCCCTTGACCTTCTTGCTTTTGCAGTATGCACGATGCACGATGAAGCCGTTGGTGATCGCAAGATCGACCAACTCCAGAAACAGAGACTTGTAGTATTTCCGGTACGTGATAGCCGCTGCACTGAGTATCGTTGTAGATGAAGTTGATCGTGCACATCAACTCCTCCCATGAAACGATGATAGTCCTTGATCACTTTGGAGCACGAAATTTCGTTTTGCTCCCCTGTCTTCTCCCGGCGATCAACGCGATCAAGCGAGAGATTTCCACCTATCGAAAGAAAGTGTACAGGCTTACTACCCCACCAGCAAATTGCAGCCATGTTGTTGACGTTCTTGGACCGTGCAAACGTCACTGCGCCACGCGGGATGTCTTTGGGTCTCTTCTTCATCTTGGTGACCACGGCCTTGCAGAAGCCTCGGCAATTCGTCATAATGGTTCCGATAGAGTAAAATCCCATAATCTAAAGCTGGACTACAAGAACGATAGAAGTGTAGAACCGATCGACTACAACAAACCTCATCGACTTGCCAGTCGTTTTTTTTTTTTTTTTTTTT